TCCTCCCTTCTCCATTCCCTTTCTCCCGTTTGTCCTACCTTCTACCTTTAACCCTATCCACTCCTGCCCCCATCCTACCCCCCTATCCTACCCAGCATCCTCCGTAATCCACAGGGCGAGTCGAGCACAGTGGACCACTTCCCTCTGCCAGCCTGATTTCTACACTTTTATTTTACTTCTGTTTATGCTGGCGTATTTACATGTATTTGCTTTCATTTACACCTTTTAGTATACATTTTTAATAAAACTTCCTCTGAATTCGTTTGCTATCCGCCAATATCCCACAAGGATTCACATGATGTGCGGATAAGGGGGCATCCTCATCTGCTGCGATTTCTCTCGTACTTTTTATTCCTTTTATCTTCAAGTTCAGTTTTAGTTTTTTTGTGCTTTGCTTTTACTTACTGGTCATTTTAATCTCTCTTTTACCCTGAGAGCAAGTCACTGATTTTTATATTTTTATTTCTGAATCGCAGCAGATGGTTTTACGTTTTTTTTTGATGATGATTATTATTTCTCATTTATTTCCTTTGATGTTTTATTGCTTTTAATTGTTCTTTTATCTTGTGTATATTTTCTTTTATTTTAATATTTCCTATTTATTGTTTTAATCATTTTTACCGCTACCACTCCGTCCGCGTGAACCAATGTAAACCCCATGTTTTTGCCAAATAAACGAGGTGGATACTTTGACTGTGTTTGACTTGACCCTTGGATTTACCTGTCTGGATTCTACACCTCGGATGCTGAAACAAGGTTGTACTGCCCCTTTTTACTTGCCTAGGTGTATTTATGCTGGACGTGTTATTTTACTGTTTTACTCTATTTTTTTTTTTTTACCTTGAACCATGTGTGCCTTTACTTTTACTTTTTACTTGCTCTGAGTTTTACTTACTTTTAACTGGTTCCTTTTACGTTTCTTTTATTCGTTTTACCCTTTTACTCGTCTTTTACCTGAACTTTTACTTCAGCTTTTACTTTTTACTTTTCTGTTCTTACGATCTTTTCATTTACTTTTCTTCAAGCTATCTCTTACCTCTACTCCTTGTTTGTGTCATTTTACGTATTTTAACTTAGATGCCAGTTCTTTTTACTGTTTTTAAGCCCTTCTGGCATATTTTTAATAATTGTTCAGCCCTTCTGGCAAGTTTTACTGTATTTAAGCCCTTCTGGCATATTTTATTTAGCCCTTCTGGCACTTGTAATATTTTTACGTTTTAATTTCAGTTTTACTTTGGTGCCTTCTGCACATTGTTTGATTTTACAGTTCATTTTAGGATTTATTTTTATTAGTATTTTATGTACCCAATCTTCGTATTGGTCACCTGTAGCGGTAGACCTGGCAACTCCCGGATAATTTTGGCTTGTGAGGTCGCTCCCGTTTCGGTTCCCGAGCGCTCTCAAGCTTGGTCCCATCTCCAACCCTTTTGCCGAGGAACGTTATCGGCTATCCATTGGGTTCCTGGGACGGTACCCTCGAAGCCTCCGCACCTTCCCGCCCTCACCCGGTTTGTGAGGCTTCCCTTATGGGCTTGGCCTGTCACTCATCATATTACCTTACACGTCACCCCAGCATTTTAGTTGACCGTGTTGTAGTACAGTTGAGAATAAAGACAATAGATCGTTAATTTACGGAAGGGCGCCAGGCAGAGTAGGAGAGCAAAAATAACGCCAGTAAATGTAGAATATACTCTGCGATTGGATGGTTTTTTAATATGATTGCTTTCCAGCTGATAGTTCTCTTCTGATATACTAAGAAATAGATTAGGGTTTTAATAGAAAACACGGTTAATTGTGTATTTAACGTTTTTGCTGGTAACCATATTTCTCGTATTTGAAAGTAGTCTTATGTATGCTGAGGACTGTTATGTGAAACACTTAACGTGTAGTATAGGCTCGATCGTAGAACTGAATTATATAGATAATTATTATGTCATTAATGTTTATCCAGTGAAAGTTGAAATATGTGATATTGGTCCAGAGACGTATCTAGACCATCTCTCTCTCAATCTCTTCTCAGATGGTTCCTGTTACCCACTTTTCCTGCCAAATAATTTAGCCTAGAATCAAGTATCTCGCCCCCTTTGCAGGTGATAGCTGACAACGAGATTGTAGTCGATCCATTAGACAGTACGTCTAGTAACCGATTTGCAGCTGGTAGGCCGTATAGGCTTGTGGTCTTTTCGTAAGTTGGAGATGACTGTGGGCTACCGGCTCAAACGAGCACATTTCAAGAACAGAAAACACAGACGAGATAAATGATGTGAATTTTTTTTATGATTTTTTTTTTTGTGTACCGTGTGTGTGTGTGTGTGTGTGTGGTGTGTAGGTCTGGAACATGTGTGGTGTGATAGGTGTGTGTGGTGATGGTAGTGTGTGCATGAGATGAGTGTGCTGTAGAGAGTGTGAGATTAGTAGAGTGATCGGTGAGGTCGTGTCGTGGCATAAGTAGGAGATCCAGTACATTTACGGACCCATTCACACACCACCACACACACAGCCCACGACACATTACACAATATGACTAATATTTTATATATATATGATACATATAATATATATATATATTAATATATATATCCTTATATATATGAGAATAATTTTATATTCAACAAGAAAGAAGAAGAGAAAGTAAGAGATAGAAAGAAGATGACAGACGAATAAGAGAAAGCGGGAGAGAGAGATAAGAGAATAAGGTAGATTCACAAAGATACTATAGAACGGTATTGAAATAGTCTTGCATTTTAAATAAATACAACGACAATAGTATGCTAAGTAGAATATTTATAAGATAGAGTAATGTCACTGTATATACTAAAAAACATCATAATATCAATAAATAAATACACTCTATAATAATAGTATAGTAGTATATAGTAGCGTATATAACTTATACTAGTTTATATATCTTTTCTCTTCTCTCTCAGCTCTGCTTCCAGCTTGTTTTGTCTATCCTGCGTGGCCCCTGGATCCAATGGCATAATGCATGAGCTCATTGAGGCACGTTTCAGTGTAATTTGCTATTTTTTTATTCGCAGCTGTTCAGAGTACGTATATATCACAAACTATTCTTATACAAATTCACCGTATCCTTAAATTGACATTCTGAACAAGAAAATACTAAATGTAAGAAAATATTCATCGAAGTACTAAGGGCAGGGTAAACACATGCGACAGCGATCAGTATCTCCGTAATTGAGGACATGAACATATGGGTTTGACATATTAACAACACGCTCAGATGGCCATCTTGTACAAGCAATTACTTAAACAGGCACGCTGAGCATGGCATGGGGGCGTGCACACATGCCCGACTAGTAATATTAATATAAGTGGTGTGTGTGATTTATTTGTGTGTAGGTGTGTTGCAATATATATATATATTATATAAATATGATATGGTATGGGTTGATATTAATATATATATATTATATAATATATAGTAATAGGATCTGTGTGTGGTGTGATAGTGTGCGTGTGTATGATGCGTCGGAATGGTGGTCGTGTGTCATGGGCGCACGTGCTGTGATCTATACTACGACATACATATATATATACATATACGCCGTATACTCAATATATTCACAGTTGTATATATATAGTATATAGACCAGGTAATATATAGTATAATATACTATATTATGTGTGTGGCCTGTAATATACATCATATATACATACATATATATATATATATATATATATATATACATATATATATATATTAGATATGATAATAAATAGATAGATATATATATATGATATTATATATATAGATATAGAATATATTATAATAAGATATATAGATACAAAGATATGAGCCATATCTATACTGATTGACTATAGATATGGCTATCATCTTGAGTGGCCAAATTAAGCAGTAATCGACCTTTCTCTCAAAAGGCCATGCTGCTGCAATCCAGTAATTAATTAGGTTTTATTTCTTTCGTTACGCGCGTACAACGACGCACGTATCCTCAGGAGTCTTCTTCGGGACTCTCCTCAGAATCTATCTTAAAACGTACCACCTTCGGTGCCCCAAGATGTTGTACCTTCTTCAAGGCCGACTTCAACCCGGCATGCTCTTCCTTCTACCTCCTCCCCCTCCCTCTCCCTCCATCTCTCTCCACCTTCCTCCCCCCTACCTTCTTCATGGCCTACTTCAACTTGGCCTGGTCTTCAGCTACCTACTTAGCCACCCTTTCCGCTTCGATGTAGGCCTGCTCCGCTGCTCTTTCATTCTTCCTCTCGCGATCATGGCTGACCTTCAGTGAGCCTGTACACTTGGTGGTCTGCAGGTCAGACGGGGTTCGGATGACCTTTTAATCAGAAACGGAAGGAGCAGCCTGGAGACACGTGGCACGGGACTCGCGAGAGGAGTTCGATCTGGGCTGCTGATCAGACACGGAATGGGCCAGTTTGGGCTCGTGGGCGGAGCGGGCCGCTGCTCTTTCATTCTTCCTCTCGCGACCATGGCTGATCTCCAGTGAGGGCCAGTCCTTGGACGCCCAAGTCAGTCTCTTCCCTGGCTGGCCCTTGGTGGTCTGCAGGTCAGACGGGGTTCGGATGACCTTTTAAACAGAAACGGAAGGAGCAGCCTCCTCCTGGAGACACGTGGCACGGACTCGCGAGAGGAGGCCGAGTTGGTCCGCTGATCAGACACGGAATGGGCCAGTTTGGGCTCGTGGGCGGAGCGGGCCGCTGCTCTTTCATTCTTCCTCTCGCGATCATGGCTGACCTTCAGTGAGCCTGTACACTTGGTGGTCTGCAGGTCAGACGGGGTTCGGATGACCTTTTAAACAGAAACGGAAGGAGCAGCCTGGAGACACGTGGCACGGGACTCGCGAGAGGAGGCCGAGTTGGTCCGCTGATCAGACACGGAATGGGCCAGTTCGGGCTCCTCCTCCTGGGCTTCGGCCACTTGGGACTCCTCATTCTTGGGACGGGATTCTCTCCTCATCCTCCAGGCCGGACTCCTCATCCTCCAGGGCTTCGGGGACTCCTCATCCTCCTGGGATTCGGGACTCCTCATCCTCCTGGGATTCGGGACTCCTCATCCTCCATTCGGGGGGGGATTCGGATACTTCGGACTCCTCATCCTCCTGGGATTCGGATACGGGATTCGGATACTTCGGACTCATCCTCCAGGGCCTCGGGGGACTCCTCATCCTCCAGGGATTCGGGGGACTCTCATCCTCCAGGGCTTCGGCCTCTTCGGACTCCTCATCGGACTCGGATTCGGATACTTCGGACTCCTCATCCTCCTGGGATTCGGCCTCTTCGGACTCCTCATCCTCCTGGGATTCGGATACTTCGGACTCCTCATCCTCCCGGGGGGGACTCCTCGTCCTCCTGGGCTTCGGCTATTTCGGGCTTCTTCTCGTCCTGTAATGTGACAAGACGGGTCTCAAGAGAGGCTTGCTTCAATTTCCTGTTCAAGAAAATCAGGGCAGCTACGGCGGCCAGTGTTGCCGTCGCTAAGCCGGCAAAAATCGCAAAAATAGTGTCGTTCGACCCTCGACCAGGCGCCTCTGCTCCAGCAACACCCGCGTGAAGACACTCGATCTGAGCTACCTTGCCGTCGACCTTACTGGCGTCCTCTGGGCACAGGAGGTCCAACGACTCGGGCTGCCGCCGAGCTAGCACAGGCCGGGGGGTATTCTTAATGTCCTCCTTCAACTCGAGGATTGCCTGGTCCTACATGGATGTAAATCTATCGGCTACCCTGAACGCGAGGCCGAGAAGGGTCAATAATACTACCTGAGGCACGACGATGCACAGAAAACGCCTCATTGGGGAAGGGAGGACAGGACGGCTCGGACAGCACGACGCGGGGACACATTACACAGCGTACTAGACGTGTGGATGTGTGAGTGTATGTGAGGGTATGTGTGTGTGTATGGTAGCGTATGTGTGTGTGTATGTGAGGGTATGTGTGTGTGTTGTGTATGTGTGTGTATGTGAGTGTGTATGTGTGTATGTGTATGTGTGTGTGTGTATGTGAGGGTGTGTGTATGTGAGGTATGTATGTGTGTATGTAAGGGTATGTGTGAGTGTGTGTATGTGAGGGTATGTGTGTATGTGAGGGTATGTGTGAGTGTATGTGAGGGTATGTGTGTGTGTATGTGAGGGTATATGTGTGTGTATGTTGAGGGTATGTGTGTGTGTATGTGAGGTATGTATGTGTAATGTAAGGGTATGTGTGAGTGTGTGGTATGTGAGGGTATGTGTGTGTATGTGAGGGTATGTGTGTGTGTTGTGAGGGTATGTGGTGTGTGTATGTGAGGGTATGTATGTGTGTATGTAAGGGTAAAGTGTGAGTGTGTGATGTGAGGGTATGGTGTGTGTGGGTATGTGAGGGTATCGTAAG